CGAAGTGATACTAACCTTTCTTCCCTGGACATGCCAGTATGGATTCAAATATATGGAAAATTACACTCCAAAAGCAATTTGTTCAGCTCGGCAGCTCTATTTACACTCTTGACAAAGATGACGACTTGATTGAAATCCAAGGAATCGAGCAAATCATTCAGCTTCCGGTTCTTCACCAATTCACTCAATTTGATGTAATGCTGCCAGCAAAGTTACCCTATCTTGAAAACAAGAAATTCGAGCAGCTTGCTAGGAAAATTATGAGTTTCAATAGGTGATATGCAGAAATGAATTAGAGGAAGTTCAGAGATGGTCCATGAAATGGGGGCTTAGATGGAATTTGGGAGAAAGAAATGCGCATTCATAATTCGCTGTTGCTGCAAACATTTGGTTACTTTTTGATTCCATCGTTCAATTAATAATGGCATTGGGAAAATTATCGCAGTTGATGATTTATGTGACATGGAAGGTTCTCTCGGTGTGCTGAAGTCTTGATAGATGCGATTAAGAGATAGGATGTTAGAGGACTATCTTTGACGCCCTTGATGATTTTATAAACAACAACACATCAAAGTGTCACCAACAAAGAGGAAGCGAAATTACGAAAACTTTTCGAGATATCTGGTGTGAAAGTGAAACATTTATTTCATGGATAGTGGAGAAAACTGAAAAAAGGGGTGCATACCGTCTGTTGAAACTGGAACGAAATCAAATGCAGTACACACCATGGCTCTTTGAGTTTCTTACTTCTTGAAGAGTAGAGAATAAGAATGAAATTGAAGGTTGAAGAAAGGATTTATTTCGTGTTGCATTTACACTGATATATATACAAGTTAAGGGATGGATATTGTTACACAGTACAAAGGGAATATACTATCTAATCCTATAGAGTAATGCCAGCTGTCTAACAATTATATTCCATTCCATGGATTAAGGGATCTGTTCCTCTCACTGATTATGGCCCAATTCCAACACCCCCTTTCAAGATGGAGTGTCTTTCCAGCACTCCTAGCTTGTCACTAAAGAGCAAAAAATCTGGAATGACCAAGAGGTTTTGTTAATAGGTCCGCCGTCTGATCAGAAGAGGGAACGTAATGAATTTCTAATTCTTTATTCAACACTTTATCTCTTACGAAATGAACATCCAACTCTATGTGTTTCGTCCTTGCATGATATACCGAATTGGAAATGCTCCTGCACTTAAATTGTCACACCATATTTTGGGGACCGCCTCCTGTGATATATTTACTTCTTTCAGCAAAGACAGGATCCAAGTGATTCAGATGCACAGTGAGCTAGAGATCGGTATTCGGCTTCTGTGCTAGACCTTGCAACAACATGTTGCCTCTTTGAGCACCATGATATCAGGCTATCACCAAGGTAAACACAGTATCCAGCAGTGGAGCATCTGTCGTCTGGGCATGAGGCCCAATCAGCATCAGCAAAGGCAGTTAAGTTTAGATCTTCACTTTTCTGAATTACTAAACCATAGTTGCGAGAACTCTGTAAGTACCGAAAGACTCTCTTAAACGCCTTCCAGTGAGCTTCTGTGGGAGATTGAAGAAACTGGCTTAACTTATTCACAGAGAAAGCAATGTCTGGTCGTGTGTGTGTCAAGTACTGAAGTCGACCCACTGCACTTCTATAAGCTGTAGGATCACTCATCAGATTTCCTTCATTCTTCGAAATCTGTTTTCCCACTACCATGGGAGTTATGCTTGATTTCAGATTTTTAAATTTGAACTTCTTGAGTAGATCAGTTAGATACCTCTTCTGAGTGAGGTATAGACCAGTTTTATCTCTGTACACTTCAATCCCCAAAAATTGGCTAAGGTTTCCCATATCTTTGAGGGCAAAACGTTCATTCGGGCTGTTAATGAACACCTGCAACTACTGCTTGTCACTCCCTGTGACTATGATGTCTTCTACATAAACTAAGACAAACAGAATCTGCTTCTTATCAACTGAGAAATACAGAGAGTTATCTGCCCTGGATTGTTTGAACTTCCATTTCAAAAGTGTATCCCTTAATTTGTCATACCAGGCTCTTGGGGCTTGCCTCAATCCATATAGAGCTTTTTCCAGCTTACAAACAAAGTGTGGAGTGTTTTGTTGCATAAATCCTTGCTGTTGTTCTATATAGACTGTCTCTTCTAACTTGCCATTTAGAAATGCGTTATTAACATCAACTTGTCTAATATCCCAATCTTTAGACACGGCGATGGCAAGTATGATTTTCAGAGTTGATGACTTGACGACAAGACTAAAAGTTTCTCTGAAATCTACTCCGGGTGTTTACAAAAATCCCTTGTCCACCAGCCTCGCTTTATACCTCTGTACTTTGCCTTCTGCATCACATTTGATTTTGAAAACCCATTTGCTGCCAATTACCTTCCTTCCAGGCTCTGGAGGTACTAGCTTCCATGTTTCATTCTTTAGTAGGGCATCATATTCATCTTGCATTGCCTTTTTCCAATTAGTACTCATCAGGGCATCATTGACACTTTGCGGTTCAACCAGCTCCTCTGAATTCTGAGCAAAGTATAGCTTTGGTTTGAAAATTCCAGCCTTACTTCAGGTGACCATAGGATGACCAACATTGTGTAAGCAATCCTGACTATTAGAGTTCACATCACCATAAACAGCAACTGTGTTATTTCCATCTGATTCAGGCACTGTTTGATCAGCCTCAGGATCAGCCCCAGCATTGCTTTCACTTACATCAGCTTCAAGACTTAGGTCCCTGCTGAAGGAACCTGTAACAGGAGAAGACCTTGGTTGAACTATATCAGCTACAGGTGGTGAAGAAGATATGTGACTTAGCTTATTTTCAAAAGGAAGAGGACACGGGCCGATGGTGATAGTGTCAGGTTGTGTATATTTGTTAAGAAACCCAAACCGAAAGGGAAATTCTTCTTCATTAAACATAATATGACGTGAGATATATATTCTACCTGAGGAGTTTAGACACTTATATCCCTTGTGTGAGATGCTATAGCCAA